CCAGGCTGGCCTCAAACTCACTGCGATCCTCCTGCCCAAGTCTCCCAAGTGCTGGGATCACAGTCGTGTGCCACCATACCCAGCCTGTAGCTTCAGAATTCTTAACTGCACATGGTAAAAATTGCATTAGCTTGCTTTAACAGCCTGCATGTCATTTTTGTTGTTGTTTGCCAAACTTGCAATATTCGGGTCATAAATAATCCATGAAGACAGCAATTGGTAATATCAGGTCTGCAGAGTAATCCAAAATGAAAATTTAACAAACAATAAAACAAAATGTATTTACACTGAAATCTTTTTGACAGTTGACAGTGCAAAAGTAGGCCCCAATTTTATTCTCCAGTTATTTCAGTAAGCTATATGGAAAACATGCCTGGTAAAAATCTCTATTCAACTGAAGTGGTCTCTTTGAAAATAATGGGCTCGTTGTGAAATAAAATACCATTTTCTTTTCTCTCATCAGGTTGATCTCCAAGTAAGCAAAAATGTATGCTGTGAAGAGTTTTCATGAAGAAATTAAAGAGAAAAGGTTAAAGCTGTAGAGAAACCAGGTATTTGTATACTGGAGAAACCATCTAAAACAACGGGATGGAGTAAGGCGAAAGGAATGAATACACCTGGGAAATGTTTTACTGAGTTGTCACAGTTCTGTCCATCTTCCGTAAGGATGCCGTAGGGAAAAGAGAATACAGTTTTAGAGAATGCAAAAGTGTAGTGTAAAAATGGAGGCCACGGTTTCTGAAATTCAAGTAGAAAATAAGGATGAGAAGAGAGCTGCAGAAGTTAGCCCTCAAGATGAGGGGCAGAAGGAGAGAACATCGGTGCTTTGCTTCAAGAGAAGGAAGAAAGCAGCCAAGGTGCTGAAGCCCAAAACCGGCGCTGAGGCCGCTGCTGCGGCGAGGAAGGCTCCCCTAGAAGCAGGAGCTTCTGATCAGCCACAGCGGCCAGGGGGTGCCTGGGCCTCGATCAAAGGCCTGGTGACGCGTAGGAAAAGGTCGGATCCTTCAAAGCAGCAGAAGCCATCAGAGGCTCAAGTGCAACGTGAAATAAAGGCCGAGGATGCTGATCTTTCTAAGAAAAAGGCCAAGTCCAGACTTAAGATTCCCTGCATAAACTTCTCAAGAGGGGCGCGAAAGAGTCATCGTTCCAAAACTATAGAAGACCCGGGCTGCAGTGTGAAAGGCCAGGGGCAGGCCGAAGCTTTGGCTGTACACACTCAGACGCAATCCAATGACCAGGCGACAAAGCCTAAGTCAACCCAAGGTCCCAGCGAAGGCGTCTCACAAAAAGACGGCGATGAGTTCTGTGAGTCCAACGTGAGCAACAGCGTCGTGGCAGGAGAGAATGTGGTTTCAGTAGAACTCGAAATAGATAATGGGCATTCCGCCATTCAGACAGGAACTCTCACCCTTGAAAAGGAAACTGAAGTGATGGAGGAGACGCGAAGTGTTCAGTCCCAGCGAGCAGGCCCACTTGAAAGCTCGGAAGCAGTCAGCCAGCAGCCCGTGGCTTCTGATGCTACCCCTTCTCCTGCCACACCGGCTCAGCAAACTGTGGGAAAGCCCAGTGACAGCTCCTTAGAAGGTGAAGCGGACCAGAAAGACCTGGAAAGTGGAGAGACTGCAGCTGAAGAGGAGAATAAGCCAAGAGATACTGAACTGGGCGAAGAATCAGACTTGAAAGAGAATGAGATCAATGCAGAGAAACCCAAGTCAGAAGAAAGCAGAAGAATGGAGCCCATTGCTATTATTATTACAGACACAGAAGTCAGTGAATTTGATGCTAAGAAATCTAAAAACGTCCCTAAGCATTTCTTAATTTCCACTGAAAATGAGCAAGTAGGGTTTTTTGCTAACGACCGTGATTTTGAGGGTAGAACTTCGGAACAGTATGAAACACTCTTGATAGAAACAGCCTCTTCTCTTGTCAAGAACGCTATCCAGTTGTCGATAGAACAGCTGGTTAATGAAATGGCCTCTGAGGATAATAAAATAAACACTCTTCTACAGTGACTCGATTTCCAAGTCGTGGGAGAAAAGGCAAGGCTTAGAGAGGAACTATTTACACATTTGCGGCATTCCTTCTGCAGTAACAAATGACAGATTTACCGTCTGTGGATGTTAAAGGTACCATTCCAGCACAGAAGGACTACAGAATAGATCAAGTTTACGAAGCTCTTTCACCACTGAACTGCAGTCAGGGCTGGCTTGGAGGAAGTCAGCAGAGACTGCAGTGCAAGGTGACATGGTGGGAGTTGCTCCGCGGAGGCTGGCGTCCTCTGGGGAAGGAAGATGTATTTGTTGAGCACTTACAGTGTGCCACGCGCTTCTTCCTGTTCTGGTGTCACAGAGTGTGGTTTCCTTTCGATAGTTCGACCCTGTGTACAGGTCAACATCACATTTGGATTTCCAAGACTTTTGTGTTTTTACAGTGCACTTTTATAGTGTTTAACATGGTGAATCAGGTGAGCTATTTTTGTGAGAATGTGTGATTTTGTTACACTCCTAAGCAGTATACCTCAAAGAATATATTGCATTTTCCTAATTTCAGCAGAGACTGTACAGAATATGTATCCTGGAACTAAATGAGTGATCTCCTGGTTTTGCTCAAGTCCCTTACAAAAGCCATTCACAAGTTCCTTCCAACAGGAAGTAGTGGCCAAGTGCAGACGCGGAGAAATGGGGGTGAGCGCAGTTTCCCCCTCCACCCTCCTTCGGCCGCCGGCAGACCGCTCTATGTCCATTTCCGCATGGGCTTTTCTGCTGAAACCTTTACAGATAAAACAAGGGGAATCGTACTTTTAGTCCAGAAGACAAACTTCCCAAGTAACCGTCATGGATAACACGGCGTTCCTGTTGCAGAGATCGTTCCTAAGTACTCCAGCCAGCAACCGCTCCTCTAACGAGAGAGTGGGTTCTGCCAGGCCCAACAGTGAGGTCCTAGGAAATCGCAGCACCCTAGTGAAAACATTTCTTCTTGGCCAGGAGTGAGCCGTGTACAGTTATTGCTAGAGCACCTATTTTCCGTGTCAGTGTTTTATCGTTGTGTCTCTGTGTTCAGACCAGTTAAAAGCATCTTACGTGAATATTTAAAATTAACTTTTCACAATTTCCCATCCAGTTAATACTTTACAAAAATGAGAAGGGCTCATCTGCATCTTATTCAGAAAGAAGCATCTGATCACATCGACGATTGCCGTATTGTCTGAAAAAGCAGTCCTGTGTCAGTGTCTCCCTGCGTGAAGTGGCGTGACCCTGCAGCACACTTCCCTACCTCACTGGTGAGGGTTCCCGCTGTGTATTCCCTCATTGTCTAAGCAGAGTCGCGGTGTTCCTTACCTGAAGCAGTCAAGTAATGGAAGCAGATGAAGTGCGAATGCCAAAGTATTTGTTGATGAGCTTCATCTTGGAGGAAAGAATGTCAGGTATTTGAAATGACCTGGGTGAATGCTTCATTATTAATGGATAACACATACAGAGTATGTGCTAATTTCTCCTATAGTTTGATTTGTGTGTGTGTGTGCGCACGCGCATACAGACTTAATGGGACCTGTGACAGAAGCAAATCTGACAGGATTGAAGCAAATAATGAATATTAGCAGGATTCTTTGCCAAAGTGCGAAAGTATTTCCCCCAGATTTTCCTGCCTTCCTGTTTATAATCTTGGGGGAAAATCCTTCCATTCGATGAGGTAAAAAGTGGGTTTCTTAAAACACATGCCCAAGAAATCAATTTATTCTAACTGTACAACTTTTAAATATTTTTTATTTAAAAAGATGAAGACATCTTTGAAAAATATTCTTCAATTCACTATATGTGGTGCTAATGGACTTAGACAGCTACCAGCAAATATATTTTAGGATTGGGGCGGGTGGTACCAGAAATCGAACTCAGGACCTTGCACTTGCCAGGTAGGCACTGTGCCACTGAGCTATATCCCCGGAAGCAAATATATTTTAAAATGAGCAATTTAAATAACCTGATTAAGGTTGGTGGGTTTTTACAGTTTTGAAGAATCCTGTCATTTATCACAAGGATGGCACCAAGCTGATGCAGTTACATTGTTTTTTTTTATTTTAAAGAGAATAAAAATTTAAAAAACAATAAAAATGGCTAGATGATAGGAAATTAACAACGGTTGTTATATTGCATATTGTTATCTTCAAAGTAGCTGTTCAGATTACCAGATATAGGCATGCAAAACTGATCAATTAAGTATTAACTGTTCCTTTCAATAAACCAACAGAAATTAGTAGTACAATTATCTTAGCTATCTTGTGTGTGTGTATATATATATATTTTTTTCTCTTCTTTATTTTCTCCTTTTCCCCATCTCAGTTGTTCTTTCCTTTTGAGCAGTTTCTTTCCCTTTCACAGTATCAATTGTACTTTTCAGATTTTACTCTTTCAGTTTCTTACACTAGGGAAACAGCGTGATGTTTACATATGTGGGCTTGGTTTCTTTCACTTACGAGTATGGTTTCCAGTTGCATCTGTTTACCTATAAAAGCCCTGAGTTTATCTTTCTTTATAGCTGAGTAATACTCCACTGTATGAAAATACCACATCTTTTTCATCCTTTCCTTGGCTGATGGGCATTTGGGTTCTTTCCAAGTTTTAGCTATGACAAATTGTGCTGCTGTAAACATGGGTGCACATATATTGCTGTGGTATAATGTTTTCAATTCTGGAAAAACACCCAGAAAAGGAATACGTTGTTTTTAGTAATTTCTTATGAAAAAGCAAAGGAAGGTTTAGGCATATTTTGGGGATTTTAAAAAAGATATCGGTACTAAAATAAATAAATAAATAAAAATTAAAAACAAGATAAATATGTGAAATTTTGGTTAAGAAAGTAACGTTTTTATCTAAATAGTTTCTATGTTTTTTCACAGTGGTTTGATAAGTGTATTTTTGATTAGAATGCATTATGAGTGATTATTTTTATATTATGAGATATATACTCTACTGGTGTTCAATGTTTAGCAGTTTCTTTTCAACCTAATCTGGTAAATTACACAAGGAGGATTTCTATTTAAAAACAGAATCCAAAAATTAATTGGTTAATATATCTGCTACATGGTCAAACCCAATGATAGTAAATTCTAAGGTGATCAAAACTGCATTATTGTGGCCGGGCATGGTGGCGCATGCCTGTAATCGCAGCACCTGGGAGGCTGAGGCAGGAGGATCATTGCGAGTTCAAGGCCAGCCTGGGCTACAAAGTGAGGTCAAGGCCAGCCTGAACTGCATAGCGAGACCCTGCCTCAAAAAGACAAAAACAAAACAAAACAAAAACCCTTGCATTATTATTATAAAAATAAGTAAAAATTAGAGGGCTTAGAAACCTCTCATAAAATATTATAATAGTATTTAGGCAATCTGGTCTTTCATGAAAAACATTAAGTGAACATAAATAGGTTCTTATTCTATTCATATCCAAATAACATTAAAATGGTCATTTAGGGCTTAAATTTAAGAAAACTACATTCATTTTTATATGGATTTATTGTGGTATGAATGCTGCTTTTAATGAATATTTATTAGCTAGGATTCAGTTTCTCTTTGGAAGCGAAAATTTTTACAAGGTTGGGAGAGTTTATCAGATACATGTTAATCTTTTAAGTTTGTTACCTTGAATCAAGAATTATTCACTTTGCTTCTTAGGACACAAAATATGAAAATTCTCTCCTATTTTATGTAGCACTATTCACTTAACATTTTTTTCAAAGCACTTTGCAGGATATAAAAATAGTACCTGGTAACATTTAAGTAAAGGTAGCAGAAAACAAAAGAACTTTCAAACAGAAATTATGTTCCCTGCCACCTCCTCCAGCTCAAAGAATAATAAGCATGTGGCACAAATAGAGTTCTGTAGAAGAGCTGCCTGCATAATTTTCTTTCAAGATAATGTCTTTGACAGCATAAAGTTTGTGATGATTTTAATTGGGCTACTATTTAGTAGGGGCTTAGAAACTTTCTGATGCACTTGAGAGATTATTTCACCAGTAGGCTGGACGTAAGTGAATAAACTCCTTGCTGAAGACTGTTAGAGATACAGTTCATGACAGGGCGCCAGTCTGGCTTCTGCACCGCAGCCCGGACGTAATTTCATCCAAACTTCTAACTTCAAGTTGCCTTATTTTTATAGTTAATTTTTTAGGGGTTTACAGCACAATTTTAAAGGTAACAATTAAATATTAGAGTCCTATTATTTGAAAAGATCCTTTTAATGTTAACTTTACTGAAATATGTAAAGTCTTCCTAATTTCCTCTGATACCAAATATATCTGCCTGCTATTTCTGCATTTTTAAAATACCTTCATGTAAGTTTCACAGTTCTTTAGGTTCAAATTTCTATGATGTTTTATTGTGTACTGTGAAATTTCTTACACAGAATCCAAAATTTCAATTCATAGTACACTTTCAGGTACCTTTTGGAGAGTTCTTTTGTAGTGATCCTTTTTTAGTTACAAAAACTTATGAAAATGAAGCTACATAAAATGTAGAAGTCCTGATTAAATGTACATTGATTCCACACACGTGGGGCGCAGCCCCTGCCAAAAACTCTTTGGTAACGGAGTGGCTCCACCCTCAGGAGTGCAGCCTGGGCAGTGCTGGCGAGAGGAGCTGGGAGGGGAGTTGGTGGCCTCTGGTGTGGGGAAGGTGGTGATCTGAACACAACAGCCGTTTGAAAGCAGTTTTTAAATAAAGAGCACGTTCATTCTGACTTGTAATGAGGTACAGACAAAGGCCTGCTTCATGTTACATATTTATAGTTCTTTGTCAGTAAAAACGTTAAGTGGATGAGCTATTATGAAAGTAAGAATTCCATTTTCTTTTTCTCATTAAAATTACTATTATATTACTGTGGATCAGATGCTAATATAAAAGAAATAATATTCTGTACAGAAAAGGCTTCAGACTGAATTTATGTACTAATTATGAATACAGAATAAATGCTATAATAACTCATGTTTATTCATGTCTTTCAAAAGAAACATGGCAGATTATGTTCATTTGTTCTTTTCTTCTTTTTTTTTTTTTGTCTGTGCAGTTCAGGCTGGCCTTGAACTCACTTTGTAGCCCAGGCTTGCTTTGAATTCACGACGATCCTCCTGCCTCAGCCTCCCAAGCACTGGGATTACAGGCATGTGCCACCACACCCAGCTCATTTCTTAAAATGATAAAGGTCATACTGATGATTTAGTTAGCTCTACCAGAAGTTCTACCTTGCTAACTGGACACTGCACAGATTTTACAAATATACGCCTCAGAGTATATGTTTAGCAAGACATATATGAACCCCTAGAACTCTGAACTAATTCAACCTAATGACAGTTTTGAATTTAAAGCTATCTATATGAATTTGACAAAGGCAGTTTCCGGGCTGGGGCAGTAGTATTTGCCCTTATTAGTAGGGGCCTGGGTTTGATGCCCAGGAACGGGGGGTGGAGGGTGGGCAGAGCTTTCAGCATTTCTTGCTACCCATTAGTTGTCTTTTCTGCACTGTATGAACGAACTGTTGAAAATCTCTGTGGTTTCCCAAATAACCAAGCCATCTTGATACGAGAATGCTTCTTCAGTCGGTACCTGTTAAAGCTGGGTATTTCAACCATTCTGTGTTACCACGGCAGTGATTTCATTCTGCTAACATTAAAGCAGTTTTCTCTTCAGGGTAACTGCATGATAATGGGCTCTGTGAAAGACTTACTTTCCAAATCTTGACTCATTTAAAAGTCGACAGTACCTTCGAAGTCCCAAAACTAAACCTGGCTCCGTATTCCACTTACTTATTAATGTGTACTGTGCACTGCACACAGGGTATTTAACGTCACATTTTTCAGAATTTAGAAGTTTTATTAGTCTTTCTAGTTAAGAAGCTTTTCCCCAAGCTTGTTCCCACAGGCAATTCCGACAATCCATTTATTTATTTATTTATTTATTTATTTAGGTCTGTTTTTGAGACAGAGTCTCACTATGCAGTTCAGGCTGGCCTTGAGCTCACTTTGTAGCCCAGGCTGGTCTCGAACTTTCAACAATCCTCCTGCCTCAGCCTCCCCAGTGCTGGGATTACAGGCACGCGCACCGTGCCTGGGCTTCTGATAATCCTTTTTAAACAGACTTTTCATGTTGAAGTCCAGAGTCCCTGATCCTTTTGTGAGTACTCACTTTTTTTTGTTTTGTTTTGTTTTGTTTTTTTGGTTTTTTTGGTTTTTCTCCGGCACCGGGAACCGAACTCACGACCTTGCACTTGCCAGGCAGGCGCTTTACCGCTGAGCTAAATCCCCAGCACCGTGAGTACTCACTTTTCTGTCTTCCCGGAAAGCTAAAGCTCACAGAGGGCTAAATTAGTGAGCTTTGGAAAGAGTGTGGTTGTTTGCACTGCTCGCACTGCACTTTCATGGGAAATCGGGGTGCAGGCACCATGGACCGTGAGGAAACCCTAGGCGAGGAGAGGCTAGTGAGGTGGCTCCCAGCCTGGGAAATTCCCAGCCTTCAAATAGTCTCTTCACATCTGAACCTGTCATGACAGGGCACAGTGTCTGACGGTTTCTGCACATTACAAGACTAAACATACTTTCCTCACCGTTTGTCTTGTGGTTTAACTCAGGACTTTCAGCCTGGATCTTTTCGGCGGTGCAGTTCCTCAGCCCTCTACTCTTGCTCTGCCCTCCTTGGAGAAGGGGCGCACAGGGTGACACCAAAGTAGATACGTTTGCTCACCTGCACCCAATCTTTCTATTGCATGTGTGCACATACTTGTGCGCACACTTACAGAACACTGAATCCAGGCCTCCTGAGCCCTAAGCAGGTGGAATGTCACTAGCTACAGCCTCCCATCTTCCCCCAAGTCCCCACACTGACCTCTGTGCCTTACAGTCCCAGGAAAGTGTGGTCAGCATGGCCACTTCTGGGCCACACTGGTCATCAGCCGTCTTCGTAACTAATGCAGCAACAGCCATTACTTGAACAGCTTCACGCACAAATCTCAGGACAGGGCTTCCACGTGGGATTGCCATTTGCAGCCTAAGTCTTTAGTCAGTGAATAGCATGTATTTAAACAGGTCGTCCCGAACTGGAGAGCTGCTGTCCTCCTGCATGACCGAAGTGGAATCGCCCTGGTATGGCAGAAGGCTGATGTATACAGAAGGATGAAACAACTGCATTTTACTCAGTTTGGGTGGAAAAGAAAGTTAACCTGCTTTCTGGTCTTGCAGATGTGCCACACGTAGCCTTTTCAGTGATTTCCAACTGCAGAGTGAATTTCGCGGGTTTCCCTCTGTTCTCTCATTGTCTGGTTGATGTGTTTTCCCTGAAGGAGTCTAAATGCACCTGATTTCTATAGCATCTATGTATCTTAGCTTAGTATAATCTCCTAAATCAGTAAAACCTGTCACTTGGTGCAGAAATTCAAAGTGAAGCCAGGCGTGGTGGTGCACGCCTGTAATCCCAGCACTTGGGAGGCTGAGGCAGAAGAATCGTTGTGAGTTTGAGGCCAGGCTGGGCTACAAAGTGAGCTCAAGGCCAGCCTGAGCTGCATAGCGAGACCCTGTCTCAAAAAAACAAAACAAAATAAAACAAAACAAAACAAAAAAACAAAGTGAAGGCTTCACCTCAACGCTGATGGTGGGACAGGAGGGGCAGGGCTGCTGGACACGGCTGTGAGAGCTGCCTCATGCCCTCCTGTGCACAGCCTGAGAGCTGCCGTCCAGGTCTGAGAGCTCTGCAAAGATGTTTTAAATAACAGCCGTCTTCTCTTCCTGTGCTCTTCCTCCCACACTAAAATACTGGTGGGAAGAGGGAACCGGAACCACTGAGCTCGCAGCACCAGATGCTGCGCATATGTGAAAAAAAGAACAGTGTTAGGAGTGAGAACGGGCCCAGTGAGACTCACTGTGAGACGCACTTACCTGGAGCCTTTGGTCTGCATCTAAAACGCTCTCCCCTCACCTTTACAAGTGCTGCAGTTGCCCTTCAAGAATCATCACGGATTCTTCAGGGTTTTCATCCCTCCGAATGTCAGTTCCTCCCAGCCCCAAATTTCTTGAAACTCATATATGGTTGAGTCTAAATTTGTTTTTTGGGATTTTTTTTTGTTTTTCTTTTTGAGACACGGTCGACTATGCAGTTCAGACTGGCCTTGAGCTCACTTTGTAGCGCAGGCTGGTCTCGAACTCGCAACAATCCTCCTGCCTCAGCCTCCTGAATGCTGGAATTACAGGTGTGCACCACCATGCCCGAATCAATTGGCTTTGATGCCTGATTGGAAGGGTCAATGAACTGAGCTCAGATTCCATGACCTTACTTAGTCATTCCATGACCTACCTTAATTTGCAAAATTCCTCAAAAATGTTCAGTATCACAATCACAATTATCTACTGATACAATATATTTACAGGTAAATTAAAGGCACCCTCATCAAAGAGGGATGTCAGGCTATTACGGTACTTAGAATAAAATTTTAGGAAAATTTCTGTTAATCTTAACGACAGCCTGGAGTGGTGGCACACGCCTGTAATCCCAGCACTCGGGAGGCTGAGGCAGATGGATCATTTCAAGTTCGTGACTAGCCTGGGCTACAAAGTGAGCTCAAGGCCAGCCTGAACTGCACAGCGAGACCCTGTCTCGAAAAGACTAATAATAATAATAATAATAATAATAATAATAATGACAAACTACAGCAAGAACCAAAAGTAGCTAATCACAAAATAGTTAAGAGTAATGTGAAATGTGAGTATCAAGGGGCTGGGGATATTGCTCAGCGGCGCAGCACCTGCCTGGCAGGTGCAAGGTCCTGAATTCGATTCCTGGTACCCACAAAAAAAAAAAAAAAAGTTTCTGTATATTTTCAAAAGGTGCACTGGTGCCACCTTTTGGCCAGATGAAAAATTTACACAAATTATCACAACCTCCATTCACAATTTCACCAAGAGACTTTAGAGTTACATTTATTTAGTTCAAACATTATGTGAATAGATTTATAACTGTCTAAATAATACATTTCAGATTTTAAATAATCACATTTAAAACCGTTTAAAAGCTGAGATAAAGGATAATACAATTTACTTCAGAACATACACATACACCAATAGAACAATATAAATTCCAAACATTACTGGGATAGAAATGCCACATTTTTTGTTAATTCCCGACAATCACCCGAAACTCGAAGCTTTCAGACCAGCACCGGTCTACCTCAGCTCTCCCGGCATGCAGGCCGGGTAGTTCCTCAATGGGCGGTCCTCTGCATGGTTCAGCTGGTCAGCAGCACACGCGGCCTCTGTCCACTAGATGCCAGCAGCAGCCTTCCTCTGGCCTCCACCCACCTGTGACAAGCAAAGCCGCTCCAACTGCCGAAGTCTCCAGGACAGGGGCAGCCCTGCGAGACAGCTGGCCGGGGGACGGGGCAGTTATTTCGTCAGACACACTGGGTGCAGGGGAGCGTTTCTGGGTAAGATTACTGTTTGAGACCACACACTCCGCAAAGCCGATGGCCCTCAATCCACTGAAAGCCTGGACAGGACAGAGGTGACCTCGGCCTGACTGCGTGGTCTTGGATGCTGACCCTTTCCTTTGACAGACGCAGAAATTTCACGCTGGCTCTTCTCGGGTCTCAGGCCTGCCCGCTTTGAGGCTAGAAACTACGCCTTTAGCTCTCCTGGTTCTCGGGCCTGTGGACTCACATGGGAATGAAATCACGGGCTCTCCTGGCTCTCAGCTCACCAGGTACAAATCCAGGAGCTTCTGCGCTGCCGTAGTTGCATGAGGCAATCTGTCAGAACATTACCTGTGTGCCTACTGCCTCTCGGTTCCGCTGCTCTGGAGAACCCTGACTAACACACCCTGGCTGAGACCCAGAGCTGCGGATTATGTTGGGGAGGGGGCAGGAGATGTAGCAGGGTGTAAACGGAACAGAAAGAGGAGCAAAGGGAGCAACTTCAAGGAAAGGGCTACAGCACCGGCCTCTGCAGAGATGGCAGCTGGAAAGCGCTCGGTGAGGGCGCCGATTTCCCATACCACCGGCTGTGCTTGGTGAAACGAGGTCCACCGACGCTGCTTCGTGTGACACCCCCGAAACGGTGCCCGCACAGCGACGACGCACCTCAGCACTAGGACAACAACGGGCAGACACTGCTGTAAAGTAAGAACAGTCTATAAGCTAAGCTAAGGAAGCGCTCTGTGATTGAGTCACATCCATTTATTCATCTTGACAAAATACATGAAATCCACTGTTTCTACTCCAACTAGAAGGTACACATTTTCTAAAAGGATTTTTAGGAAAATTCACAGTACACGAGGGAGAAGCGTTTATACAATGTATTATTCATTTCGGTCTCTTGTATTTGCTATGTATTACTTGAACTTTGAGGATTTCTTCAGTGAGTATTTTTTTATTATACAAGCTTTTATAATATGTTTCTTTTAAAGTATTTCAAATTTATACTTTGATCTATTCTGACTAAATTATTTGGCACACAAAGAGAGGAGCTGGTGACAGTTAAAGTCAGCTGCACCGCAGCAATATTTACTAAGCAATCGAGTGTGGTACAGACACCGACTTAAGCACAAAGCAGCCCTCCTGGTCTCAGAGGTAAAGATCACAGGCTCAGGACTGCGTAACCTTACCAGTTTTCAACAAAAACCAAAAAGGCTGGGCACACGCTCATGCCTGTAATCCCAGCACTTGGGAGGCTGAGGCAGGAGAATCACTCCAAGTTTAAGGCCAGCCTGAACTACAGAGCGAGACCCTGTCTCAAAAAAACAAAAAACAAAACCACACACAGAAATACAGTAGAGAATAATCATTTACAGATTTCACTATTAGAAGAATTTAAAAATCATATTAAAATGCCACAGAACTACACTTAAGTTTAAAACATACCAAGATTCACGTTACTTGACGAAAACGCTTCACTGGCCTACTGCTAACCTCAGTTACTACAAAAAACTGATACTTATCATCAAGGACCTGAGTTACAACATCAAGATTTGCCTGTACAGTACAAATAAATTTTAATGGAATTACACATTTTTCAGATCTTTTTCCATGATTAATATGCACTTCCTTCAGTTTTCAGTGAAAGCTTTCCCAGTACTACTTTAAAAGATACTCATGAATTACCAGGTAATATCCTTATTCAACTTCCTAACCCTGTGCACTATTCAGATCATCTTCATCGAAGAAATGAAAATGCTGTATCTTCGTTGGCTGTTCCTTTCTCACATGAAAACAGCAGGTTTAAGGGAACTTTCAATAAAGCTGAAATTGGCAAAGTTTTATTTCAGTAGCCTTCTCGCTTGAACGCTGAAGAAGAAAGGTGATAATTACACTCTAAGGGAAGATATTATGTCTAGAGCATTTGTAAAAAACGGTTTTGTCAATTATTGAATATTAAGTAGTACAAGTTTGGAATTTACAGATTGGAATTCTGAAGGAAATAAGTTTAGCTACAGAATAGTTTTTCTTATATTGTTGGTTTTTATAAATAATACTGACAAAAGTTAACACAATCTTACTACAAATCCTCACAACACCCCTGTGAGGTAGGCATTGCTTTATTCCCACTTTACAGATGGGAAATCACAAAGACAAGAAGAAACAATCTCAGAAGTTGTTTATCAAGGAATTACGGTTTTGTTAGAAGGTAGCTACACTCAGATATTGAGTTCTGTAATATGTCATACGGACAAACACTCAAACATTCTTTCTTTTTCTCAAGAAAACAATGACGTGCGGGATCTGTTTTTTTGTTTTGTTTTTTTTTTTTTTTGGTTTTTCTCCGGTACCGGGAACCGAACTCACAACCTTGCGCTTGCCAGGCAGGTGCTTTTGTCGCTGAGCTAAATCCCCAGCCCCAACATGTGGGATCTGAAAGAAGGGACACTTTAAAGCTCATGCACGAGGAACGTGTGCGCCTGCTACACTGATGAAAGTGCATACTGCATCTCCAATTTTAAGCCTGGTAATCACTACACAAACCACGTTATACAGTATTATGATGATTATTATTGTTTTTGCACCAGGAATCAAACTCAGAACCTTGCGCTTGCCAGGCAGGCACTTGCACCAATGAGCTATATCCCTGGCCATACAGAATTATTAGGATACTGGTTAGTAGTATAGCTCCATTTTGCAGAAGATATAGTCAAAACTAAAAGTCTTACCTGGAAGAACTTTTTAAATTCAAAGTATTTTTTTTTAAAGTGAGGAATCATGTCTTTAAAAAATATAGTAAAATGTAGGGCACAATATTAGGCTTATGACAGTTACTTTTTAAAAATGCCTGCAAAATGAAGAAAAATACATCCTCTTTGGCTCTGTAGAATTCAGCTTTTGGGATTTTTTTCCCTCCTATAAAATGAAGTTAACATGTCCCACTTCCTAAAACAGAATATTATGAGGCCCAAGGGAAGAGCGTTTGTTTGGTTATTTTGTTTGGTTGGTTGGTTAGGGTTTTTCGGTGGTGCTGGGGATTGAACCCAGGGCCTCACGTGTGTTAATAAGCAAGCACTCCACCACTGGGCTGTATCTCCAGCTCCTGGCCTCAAATTTGAAAGCCTCCTGCCTCTGCACCCCCATGTAGCTGGAATTACAGGTGTGCACCCCACACCCAAATGCCTTGAATTCTTAACATTAAAAAAACTATATGAATAAAAAGAGGAATCCAAAGCCAGGCTGACACTGCTGTAATCCCAGCACACAGGAGGTTGTGATCTGATTCTAATACTTGGGAGGCTGAGGCAGGAGGATCACCAAGAGTTCTAAGCTAGCATGGGCTACATAGTGAGTTACAGGCCAGCCTGAGCTATATATTGAGACCCTGTCTCAAAAAAAAAAAAACAAAAAACCACAGAGCAAAATCCAGATACTCACTGTTTTCTTAATACTTACATATAGGTCTATTTCCACTTTAAATAGATGTTATCCAGCACAGCCAATCAGCTGTAAGCAATTTCTTACACTTTCTCCAGGCTGCCCTATCCTGCTGGCTTAGCCCACCACCCATAACACCCCTGCTCCCGTCCTTCAGCCAGACAAGGGCTTCCTGTGTCAAAGACAAAGGACTGGCAAGGAAGAATGTGGGTACAGGGGCTGGGGATTTAGCTCAGCGGCAAAAGCACCTGCCTGGCAAGCGCAAGGTCGTGAGTTCGGTTCCCGGTACCGGAGAAAAACCAAAAAAAAAAAAAAAAAAAGAATGTGGGTACAAAAAGTGGGGAAACTGCCAGACACAGTGGCACCCACCCGTACTGCAGCACTCAAGGAGGCTGAGGTATGAGGATCACAAATTTAACCTAGCTTGGACAACGCAGCAAGACCCCATCTTGAAATTTTAAAAAAGTGCTGGGGATGTAGCTCAGTGCAAAGGCCCTGGGTTCAACCCCCAGTGCCCTCACAGACACACACACACTGGAAAAGTGAAATTAATGAGAACAATAAAACTTCAAGAACTGTGAGGAATACATCCCAAATAATCTAAGATATATAAAATCAATATCAATATTTGTGTTCTTATAATACGGAAGCTTTGAAGGCAATATGAGTTTGAATAATTGCTAAAGTGAATTAGTTTTGCAGGGGGATTTTTTGGTGCCGGGAATCAAACTCAGGACCTTGTGCTTGCTAGGCAGGCTTAAGTGAATTAGTGAAAAAATTTAACTTAGATAAAATTCTGACCCCAAAGGGCAACAGCTGATCTGACTCATTCCCAGAGTAACTGATCCCTATCGGTAGCTAGGTTTTGCTCTCAGTTTTGATCCCAGGCCTTACCTCATGTCTAAAGCAGAAACTCCGCTGCCTTAGACAACGCCCAGAAGTCTGCCTCACTAAGCCCACCAGGAAACAGCACTCTGATTCCAACGCACTGCTTTGTATTTTAGCATCAGCTGGGTTAATCTTTGAGCGCCTTTCTGACAAACAGCGAGGTGGTTGTGTATGTCATGGAATGTCCTCAGAAGTCTTCAGCCGAAAGGGAACGCAAATATTTTTATATGTGGTTAAATGCGAAGACCTGCAAATTAAATTCTTGGAGGTGTTCATCGTGCAGGGCGAGGCGTGGAGGTGCGCCCGCACTCCTGGCTACTTGGAGGCTGGTGAAAGGACTGCTTGAGCCCAGGAGTCTCAGGCCAGCCTGGGAAACACAGAAAGAACCTGTCTCAAATGGGAAAACAAAGTAGAGACCCTCAAGTATTCTTCAAATGTCTGTAAGGCTTAGAATTTAGTAGGGAAGCCTAAAAAAAGATGAAGCTATTTTTGTTTTTTTGAGACAGGGTCTCGGTATGTAGTCCAGGCTGGCTTCGAACTCATGGTGATCCTCCTGCCTCAGCCACCCCAAATGCTGGGATTACAGGCATGTGGATGAAACTGTTTTGGAGACTTTCTTTATTATCTTTGACTACTGGTGTCTCAGATGTGAGTATTTCAAAAACAGTTTAGATCTACCCCTTTCAGACGAAGTTTGACCAGCTATTTCTCAGGTACAGACAGCAGGACAATCTATCACTTACCTCATCAGCTTTAATTTTTCTGGACTTTTAGCTCTGTATCTGTCACCATCATAAAAAGGAATGAGGGGGCTGGAGGTTTAGCTCAGCAGTACAGCGCCTGCCTGGCAAGCGCAAGGTCATGGGTTTGATTCCCGGCACCAGAAAAAAAAAACAAAACAACAACAACAACAAAAAAGAATGAGGTTTATTCACAGTGCATGCTAAGCACAGTCCCAGAACACTGGATGGATTACCTCTGCTGGTTTTATGGACCAGAAGAAGTAAAAAGTATGCTACTAAAATTTTTTCAAATGAGTTATAGAAAATTAACATCAACTTAGGCAACCTAGGAAATCGTCTGACAATGAGGGCAGAAAAAAATTATTTGTATGTTAACATTTTCCTCCCTAAACTCACATTAACCTTTGATCATAAAAATCTCAAACGGCTCTTAAGGTCTCTACGGAAATGCTCCAGATTTAGGTAAAAACTCTGGGATGTTGGTTAACACATCTCTATGTGCTTATCTATGTGTACGTATCTTATTGTTTCTCTACAATTTATATCTCTGACTCTTTTCCTCGTCTCTTTTAACTAAAATACTTTTTCTTAAAAATGAGGTATACTCAATGTTACTTACATAAATAAAAGCCATGTAAGTAAAAAGTTAAAATTACTCATGATTTGGAATAGCCATGTCTTAAAACTAATTTTTAGCAATCCCAGCACTATGGGGGGCTGAGGCAGGAAGACTGGAAGTTCAAGTCCCACCTGGACAATTTAACAAGACTCAAAATGAAAAAAAAATAATAGAGCTGGGGATGCAGATCAGTGGTAGAGTGCCCCAGGTTCAATCCCCAGTAACCCCCATACACACACACACAGATCCAAATATTTTTATACATTGTAATATACAGTTATACATTAAAAGAGCTACTAATTTTCTATATGGCAGAAAATATTTTTAAACAATCTTCATAGGGACTGAACTCATATGAAACATAAGCCAAGAGTGACAGTTTAGAATTTCTTTTTTTAGTGCTGGCGTTTGAACTAGGGCCTCATGCATGCTAGGCAAGCACTCTGCCTCTGAACTACATCACTAGCCCCTAGAATATTCTTTAAAACAGATTGCATTTACTCCGTATCCAATTTCATGTTACTGATTCTGCAACCTGGAAAAACTTTAGGGATTCTATAAATATGCACTTACTCTAAAGTTTCCAAATTTCTATTCTGGTTTTTAAGCTGTGATTGAATTTATGAAAAGTTCACAGGGCTAAGTGAAGGTTACACTTCATAGCCATTTATTAACTAACATGTCTCACAGGAAGAAGACCAAATGTATGCAACCTTAAAACTATGGAGAAATTGCAAGAAAAAAGTCAATAAAACTTCAGGAGGTAAATAATTTATGAATAAAAAATGTCTTTTTTTTTTTTTTTTTGGATTAGTATAAAAATTCCATCAGGCGTGTGGCACACACCTGTAATCCCAGCACTTGGGAGCCTGAGGCAGGATTGTTGAGAGTTCGAGGCCAGCCTGGGCTACAAAATGAGTTCAAGACCAGCCTGTTAGTGAGATCCTGTCTCAAAAAGACCAAAAATAAATACATTTTAAAAATTCTGAAGAAGCTGCTGCTATTCAACTAGGATAGTGTCCACATTTTCTTGCGTGAGCTCTGACTCTAAGGCACAAGGCAAATCTAAGTGTTCTTGTGACAGGCGAGAACTTTTCACGGGGATGTCAGTCCAGCTGTCACAATACGGCTGACATCTCTGGGCCAGTGCATTCCCAAACCTTTGGCACCGGCTGTATCTGTAAGGTTTACCTTTGTGCGTATACATATGTTCCAGCAACTGGCTCTTTCGAAGAAATTTATGACCACAGATGGTACAAATGATTTTTCTTTTCCTTGAAAAGGAAAAGTTACAGTTTAATTCCACAGGTTCTGTGTCTTTGGAGACCAGAGACACTTGGCTGATTTGCAAAGCCTCCGTGGTACCCCAATTTGAGTGGTCAGGCTGCTGCTCATTCTCCTTGACAACGAAGGAGTTAGGCCTGCGGCATCCAACGGCCTCGCTGTTCTCATGAAGTGGATGAACTTCACCAAGGTCATGGCTTTCCAGGATGGAAGCAGGGACACCAAATGGGAGGGATCCAGACACATGGGTATGGAGATGTTGTCTTAAGTTACTACGGCAATCAAAACGTTCTCCACAGTAATGACACAAGTGTATTTTGATACTGTTTTCTACAAAAGGGGGGTCTGTTACCTCTGATGAGGGTGAGGGGTTGCTCTGGGACACCACAGGCTCTGGGTCACACCTCTCCTGCTTGATGGACACTGCGGGCTCCTGGTGCTCCTCCAAGGCCTGGGCAGCAGGACGGGCCCTCTGCTGGTCCACAGTGCCATCGTCTAGCCCAATAGCAAGAGAAAGCTGCAACTGGGGGTGGTCACCCTGGACGGCTGCTCTGTTCCCACTGCTAGTGGGAGGAGTTTCTTTGACCTCCAGACTTTGTTTGACAGCTGTTTTCTGGGTTGTTGAGATCTGAATGCCATACAAATTTGAGGACTGCACAGTCTCTGGTGAGAACACCCGGTTCATTTCAGTCGCAATGTGAGAAAGGTAGTCAGCGTGAAGAAATCGAATCCCTTCCTCCAAACGACTGTGATCCACACTCTGTTTGGGCCCTTTCCCCGTGTACATAATATGCAACAAATAGCTGAATATGTCGGGCTGGATGTCAGTTGGCTGTATTTTTATGCACTCACTGTTAAAAACAAAACAGACCCACACAAAATGAGACACAACCTAGGTGCCCTCTCGGTTACCAGAGGAGTCTTGGGCTAGAGCAATTTCTCCCAAGGTGGTTTAAATTTTGCAATCTGCCTTGATGAAACTCAGTAACAAAAGCTTCCACTTCTGTCTCATACCAGTTTTATGACCAGTTACAAGCCTTCATGTTTTCAATCTACTGCCTAATGTTAGGACACACAGATATTCTGATTAGTTCAACATTAACTGACTCCTAAGCAATATGCATGCAGGTGCCGGCGGGAGAAAAATGATGGCTAAATTGATACCATGCTCTTAAGGAATTTAACAGTCTGCTGAGTACATGATAAAAAAAAACCTGAACACACAGACTCAAACAGATACCCTTATGCCGATGTCCACTGCAGGGTTAGTCATGGTAGCCAGAAGCACAAACAATCTAAGTGTCCACCAAACATGCATGGCTTATATATACAACAGAGGATTACTCAGCTATTTAAAAAAACAGTAAAGCTCTTTCCTTTTTTTTGTGTGTGTGTTTTTTTCCAGTACGGGGAATCAAACTCACGACCTCATGCTTGCCAGGCAGGTGCTGTGCCGCTGAGCTAAATCCCCAGCCCCAGTAAAGCTCTGATACATGCTATGCCATGGATGAAACCAGGAAACGTGCTAGCAAAATAAGTCAGACCCAAAAGGATAAATATTATATGTACTAAAATAAGAGAGATATCTAAATAAGCAAGAGATATAAGAGATATCTAAAATAAGCAAATTCAGAGACATAAATTAGATTCGTGGTAGGGGAGTCTGAGGAGTAGTGAGGTGTACCTGCTTACTGGGTGAAGTTTCTATTAGGGTCATGAAAAAGTTTTGGAAATAGATGATAGCGATGGCTATACAACATTACACTGTAACTGTAACTACTGCCACAATTACATAATTAAAAGTGAAAAGTTTTTCTTTGTAGTACTGGAGATTGAACCCAGGGTCTTTATACTAAGCTTATATCTTCACCTCTTTTTTTTAATTTTGAACTGGGGCTTACTAATTTGCTAAATTGCTCAAGCTGGCTGAAACTTGTGATCCTCAGCCTCACAGAGTACTGGGATTATAGGAATATGCCATCATATCCAGCTAAAATGGCAAAAAAAAAGGCATATATATATATATAATTTTTTCCACAATAAAAATGTCTTAAGAATTTTAAAAACAGACTAACAAAGTTGGAACTATTTAAATTAAAGTTTTATTTTGGTTTCCAAAATATCTTTTTTTCTTGTTTATAGTGCTGGAGATCAAACCCTGGGCCCAGCACACAGTGCTCTACCACTGAGCTACATCCCCAGATCATACATATCTACTCTTTAAATTACAAATGAATGCAGGTATAACTTTGAAAGGTTTTCAGACAGTCTCACCAGGTGTGGTGGTGCATGCCTGTAATCCCAGCACTCTGGAGGCTGACGCAGTAAGCTTGCCACAGTTTTAGGCCAGCCTAGGCAAGGTGAGTTCCAGGCCAGCCTGAACTACATAGCAAAACCCTGTCTCAAAAAAAACAAAATAATGGGCCAGGGATATAGCTCAGTGGCGTAAGCGCCTATCTGGCAAATGCAAGGTGCTGAGTTCAATTCCCAGTACCAAAAAAACCCAACCAAAATAAATAAACAAATCCAATTAAAATAATAATAATTAATTAATTAAAAGAAAAGACTATCTCAAACCCAATTTTTACATATGAATCTAGAATTCAGGTAACAAAACTAACGGTGTAAGAAGATATCAAGAACCCTCTCTGCAATATTAGGGTAGAGACAACCTATGGGAAATACTGGTTATCAGAGAACAATGCCATCAGTCAGGGACTTACCTTCCCGGAAGCACAGCTCACAATGCATCAGAGAGCACTGAGTCTGGACACTGTCTATGTCTTCCTTCTTTCAGCCCTGGCTCCGGGTTCTCTCCTACACTCTTTGTTCTGCCTACCTACCCTCTGACCGGGTCTGTGGCAAGCTTTGTTAAATATCGCTTCAGACTCTTGTTGAGTGAGAGTTTTAAGTTGCTGGCTGCCACCTCTCTAAGTCCTGTGTTTGGCACTGCTCCTGGCAAGTGCTTTAGGAGCTGAAGCAGCTCACAGCTCTCAGAGGAGCCTGAGGCGGCGGCAACATTTCCAGTGTAGTGAAGCCAATCTACAGAGACACTCGGAGAAGGCATCCCCTGCACCGGCTGCTAAGGCTGTCCACTACCTGTCCCACGCTCCAGCCTCCCCTCCCTTTGTGCAGTATGTTCCAGTTACTGTGATCTACTCTGGTATCTGATGCTCAAAGCTCGTTCACAGCTTGATTCACACCCCTGTGATGTTTTCATGCCATTTTTTCTCTGCCTCCAACGCACCTTCTTACATTCCTCTATAACATCTGAAATATTCCTTCTCATCCTTCAAGATCCCAGCCCTCTTTTCAACTGGTTCCCACCTTCTCAAACAGGGCTGCTGAAATCCTGTTGTAGCTTGTGTACGCTTGACGACAAACTATCACATCATTACCAGCAAAGCTCTGCTCTAAACATTTTAATATTATTAATCTATTTAACCTTCTCAATACTCAAGGGGTGAGTATACTATTCTAGCATTTTATAGATAAGGAAATCAAAGCAGAGAGAGGTCAATGACATTGTAATTATTTGCTTTACATTCATTATCTTTATCGGATTATTAACTTTTGAGGGCAGAGTATGTAACTTGCCTGTTATTGGGGTCTAGCTCAGGGCCTGGCACACAGGTACTTAATAAAATCTGAAAATTAAATAAAAATATATAAGTGCAGTTGGACTCGTACTTCATATGAGGTCCTTAAAAAAACAGTGTTCTGTCACTTTTAACCTACAATGGACTGAAATTATTCTTTATCTACAGCTCAGAATATGAATTGCTAAATTCATGTGTTACCTAAATTTTAAAATGTAAAAGAACTCTTTGAAAAAAGATTTAAAACGAACAACCTTTAAATTGTAATATGGAATATGTGGCAAGCAGAACTGACACTGAAAACTTGTTATGAAAGTGCTACAGAATAAACCTCAATCACTTTGCGATTATGAACACAAACATTTGGCTTTAGACAGATCTGCATTTGACCCGCCTGTATAATCCCGAATGGGCAAATTACTTATCCATTCAGTCTGTTTCCTTTAATCCAGGAAGGGGTAAAGGAGAATTTCCATTACAGGATTTAGTACCTGGAGATGGAATAAACCTTCAATAAATTTTACTTATAATTATTTAATTATTTTTATTTTATCTTCTACTATAGATCCTGTATCTTAGGCTTAGTTATTAAGATACAAAACTTATAATTGTTTTTATTTCTTCGGGTAACTCCATAATAAAGACACCATGAAATATCATACACACACATACACACACAAAGCATTAAAACTTCTTCTGATTTAAAAAATACATTTTTACCTTGTTTGGTGAATAAATATCATCTTGAAATAGTTGGAAAAAGCAGCCAGTACTGCTCTATGGGCTTTGAAGTAAACATCTCCAATAGCAACGGTGCAATCACACAGAAAACCAAATTCTCGCTGCATATTCAGCTGCTGTAGCAGGACAAGGCTGTGACCAGCAGTATCCATCGTGGCCCTAAGAAAAAGAACAACATAAATGTATGCATACTTATGTGTATGTATGTGTACACATGTATTTTTTTAATACAAAATTGTTTACAGCTCACATGAATCTACCGAGTAACAAGGAGGCCCAATTTTTTGTCTTTTTGAGACAAGGTCTCACTATGCAGTTCAGGCTGGACTTGAACTCACTATGTAGCCCAGGCTGGCCTCAAACTCAGAGCAATACCCCTGCCTCAGCCTCCTGAGTGCTGGGATTACACGTATGGGCCATCACACCTGGCAAGAGTCCCAAATTTAAATGAAATTATTCAACAATTTTCAATAGTATTAACTTCATTCCAAACTTTACTAAAATTTAATCTCCCCCTTATGACAACTGACATAATCTCTGCTGAACAGTAAAATATGGCCTTTCCTCATCTGGAAAGAAGGTAGTTTGGTATGAGTGACACATGAGCAAAAGGAAGCTCTGTCCTTTTGCTTCTGATGCTGTTTCCTAATTGGAAAAATTGAAATGAGATACTGATCTCTGCCTTGGAGTTATATGAAATAATTAATGTGAAAATCATGTGGTAATGGAAACTGCTATTCAAATGTTAGCTTTGAATGTGACTAACATAACAAGGTGCCCTGTCTGGGCTAGAGCTGTCAGTGCTCCTTAGGGGTCCTCTGGTGCTCAGGGGACACTGGCCTCCCAACCACCATAAAATGTTTATGGGGACTTATCAGCCACAGAAAGTCCAGAGGAGTCCTTAAAATAAATTCTGGGTCACGTACCCAGATTTAAATGCTGCCCAGGAGCCCCATGAGAAAGAACCTAATGCCTGACCTCACCTCAGCTTCCCCAAGGTGGGAGAAAGCAGGCTGGCAAATGAGCCTGGCGTGGGGTGGGAGATCCTGCATGAGGAAGAATATGGAAAAGAATTCTAGCCACGAGGCTTAGCCTGAGCAGAAAGAACATCCAGAAAGAACATAATTCCAGACAGGTGGGAGGCTGTACTTTGACGACCTGCTCTCCCCCAGCTGTGTACAGAACCCTGGCACTTTACAAAGACGGCAGCAGTCGCATAAAATGCATCACTTAGGGCTGGGAAAACGCCCTTTCAGACAGAGGGCTGAAGAGATCAGTGATGGTGGTGGTGGAGGTTAGCTCTCTGGAGACTGGCAAAAGCTTAGGCAGCAGACAGCTGAGTGATCGCTAACATAATAAAAACAGTTAGCATTTTACTGCATTAACGGCTTTCACTCTTTTTTTTTCTCTGTGGCACCTACTGGAGATTGAACCCAGGGCTGAGCAAGGCCTGTACCAACGGAGCTACAGCCTCAGCTCTTTTTGTTTTGAGACACAGTCTCATACAGTTGCCCAGGTTAGTCTTGAACTTGCGATTCCCTTGCCTCAGACTCCTGAGCAGCTGGGATTATAAGCGTGAGCCACTGTGTCCAGCTTCATTTTAATTTTTAATACAACTCCACAAGAAAAACTACAAGCGAAAGAGCTGAATCAACAGAGTGTTAGGGAATTTACCGAAGGCTGCTGTGTTGGTAAGTGGGGAGGACCCTGAAGCCCAAATTTCCTTCCTTCCACCTCCCAGCGGGAGCACGCCCCACAAGCTGAAGGAGTCAGGAGAGCAGGAAGGTTACACGGTGAAATGCCCTGCGAAAACTCCGGAATATTTGCTAAAAGGAAGCGGGGGCTTCAGTTTCCTCTCGGCTGAGCAAATGTGGTACAGCAAAACCCGTGCATACGCTTATTAGCAAGTAAGTCTGGACGGAACGTAAGGACAACAGCAACTACACGTGGTGAAACGCAGACTCTAGGGCTGGGAAGCAGCTCAGTGGCCCAGTGCTCGCCCAGGGTGTGAGAGGCCCCAGCTCAGTCCCGAGCCACCAAAAATAACCCAAATATTTTTACTAAAACTACATATTTAATGTGTAGTACAGAATAATCTCTAACACATATTAAGTAAAAAAGGCACAAAAAAGGCGCAGTGTAAAATTGCATAAACAGTATGACTTCCTATGTAAAAGCAACCAAGTGCTAGTTTTAAGGATAGGGGACAATTTATACGCTAACATATCCCTGTTTATGTATACATCTCTGGAAATGTTCAAGGACACCAGGAAAATGCTCACTTTTGGGAGAGCAACTAATGAGCAGGGGCCGAGGGTGAGTGGAACCTATACTATCTGACCCATAAATTTCTTTCACATAAGCTAATAGGTGGCGAGGACCATGAGCAGCACCCCTCCACCCACTACCCAACACAGAAACGAACGTTATGCACACGGTGGATATTCCTGGCATCTCTCCCTCGTTCTATCCCATCTACCTTGTCTCCAAAGGTTACCGCCACCCTAGGTTTGGCATTTATGATTCATTCATACATTGTCACATTTTTACTCTTCAGGTATATATTCCTTAACAAGGTAAATACTGTTTTGCAGGCTTCACATTTTTACATAGACAATACAGTACTTGAAGAAGCCAGCAACTTAATTCTTTTAACTCTAAACTCATGCATTACTTTTAAAGTCTACTATTAAAACTTATTTGTTTGTTTGCTTTTGGCTCTTTGAGACAGGGTCTCGCTATACAGTTCAGGCTAGTCTTGACCTCACTTTAAAAGTAGCCCAGGCTGGTCTCAAACTCGCAACAATCCTCCTGCCTCAGCCTCCCGAGTGCTGGGATTACAGGTGTGCACCACCATGCCGGGCCCTAAAACTTATACATGTGTCCCATTTCTTCCATAATTAAAATACAAGTAAGACTCTTAACCCTTACCATCTCACTTTTAAAAGATTTTAAGCATCAGTGAAATAAGATGACAGAGGCTATAGAAACTTCAGCCTAGTCTCTAAACTATAAACACAAATCCAAATTGTGGGTATTGCTCCAAAGGTTATTTAACCAAAATTCACTACTTATATTTACATGTTGCTTCTTGTAAAACACAGGAAGATTTTTAAAAATAAACAAAATCTCTACATTGGAAATTTCAGTATATGAAAAACATTTCTTAAAGTCAATAAAATGGTTCAAACCAGCTAAACAAATGGCTTCAAAAACTTTTCTTCACCACTTCTTCCTATGTGTATTGTGCATTAGAACTACTGAACCATATGGAAATGAGGAATAGCACACTAAAAAGACACGTGTACAAAAATCTTGTGGTTAATGGTCTAACAGTTAAATTCTTCACTTACTCAACAAATACTGTTGAAGAGAAATTTAATGAAAAACATATTTGAAAGTATGCCTTGTATAAGGCCTGCAGATAGAAAAAAATGACATTGCTCCTAAAGTCAAAAAGATTACAGCCTAACAGGGGAGACAAAATATAAAATAAGCTGGGCATGGTGGCGCACGTCTATAATCCCAGCACTCGGGAGGCTGAGGTAGGATGATCTTTTTGAGTTCAAGACCAGCCTGGGCTACAAAGTGAGCTCAAGGCCAACCTGAACTGCATAGCAAGACCCTGTCTCAAAAAGACAAAAAACAAAAGTATAAAATAATAATTACAATATGAATTAAAAGTGTTGTATGCTACAGAACATGCTATGAGGAGGAAATAAATACAGGCAACCCAAAGGAAAAATAAGGCACTTGTTTTTGTTTTTGTTTTTTTGATTTTTTTTTTCTTATTTTTGGTACTAGGAATCAAACTCATTACCTCAGGCTTGCCAGGCAAGCACTTATGCAGCTGAGCTATACCCCCAGCCCCTGTTTTTTTGTTTTCTGAGACAAGGTCTCACTTTGTAATGCAGGCTTATGGCTGGCCTTAAACTCACTATGTAGCCCAGGTTGGCCTCAAACTCACAGCAATCCTCCTTCCTCAGCCTCCCAAGTGCTGGGATTATAGGTGTGCACCACCATACCTGGCAAAATAAGACATCTGCATTGGATTTACATAAACAACCAAACAATAACAAACACAATATGGTAATTATTGTGAGTGATGATTGGGTTTTTTTTGGTGGTGCTGGAGATTGAACTCAGAGCCTCACCCATGATAGGAAGGCATTGTACTACCTAGCTACACTGCCAGTCCTGGGGGAAGGATATACAATTTACCTAACAGAATTAATTCAGGCATAGAAAAAATGAATGTCTGGACCAACAACAACAAAACCAAAGGCAGGGTCAGCTCACAGAGCGGTGACTTTAAGACTAAAAATATTCCAGTTGTGTTTGAAATGAGCTATGAGCCTGGCATCATGACACATACCTACAAGCCCAGTACTCTGGAAGGCTGAGGTCAGCCCAACCTGGGCAGCTTGGTAACTTAGCAAGACCGTCTCAAAGAGTTAAAAAGGGCTGGGCACGTGGCTTAGTGCAAAGGCCTCGAGTTCAATTTCCACTGCTGAAAAAGACAAAACAAAAACCACCAGAAATGAGCTATGTAAGATGTTACAATAAGAACAGCATGATCAGTTAATCTGTGGGAGACAGCACAGCACAGCAATCAAAGCTTAAACTCTGGAATTCGACAGCTTCAAGATCCCGGCTCCGCCAGTTTCTAGCTCTGATCTTGACAACACACTCAACTCGCTGGGTCTCACTTTTACTTATGTGGATAAGAATATAGTAACTAACCCAAAGGTTTTATATTAATTTAGTAAGAAATATATATATATATATATATATACACATACATACATACACATATACAAACTTAGAAATAGTGGAGTCCACAGTAAGTGTTCAGTAAGTACTGAAAGCTTGGAAATGTAGTTATTATGATCATTAGGCCTGTGAATCAAGATTACTCTAGTAGCAACATGAAAAGAGACACAGAGAAAGAGAATGGCTAGGAGCCTACTACAATAGCCAATTAATGGCAGTGGGAATGAAGGAAGCGATACACTAGACACAGAACTGACTGCCTCAGCAGTAAACTGAACGTGGTGAGATGTAGAGACCAAGTCCAAGGTGAGCTCAGAATTCCATCCAGGAGTAACTCTAAGAACTCATTCATTCATTCTTTCTGAACGCATCTGCAGGATGACTGCTATGTTCTAGGTCTTATTACAAAGGCAGGGTCTCAGAACACCAGAGCTGAAGCATAGAAACTGACTTGAGAGATTCCGTTTCGGATATACTGAGTTCAAAGTGTTGACTCTCATACATGCAAGCAGAAATGCTGGGTGACAGTGGAGACAAAAAGCAAGACTGAGCACCAGAGAGAGAGCTCTACAGAGAATGAGCCGGGAGAGGGAGGGAGGCCTCGCAAATGACAGAGCTGAAGTTCACCAGCTGCAGACGGGCAAGACAGCAGTGAAATTGGAGAAAAAATTAACACGAAGCACGAACCCTTCGAAAAGTCACAACAGAAAAGGGAGAAATTACAAAACATACTGTCACCGAGGGAAGGCAAGAGCCCTGGAGCCGAATCCCGAAGAGAAATGTGGGTGAGGCCCATTCTGAAGTCCTGCCAGTGTGATGACCAAGGGTCCTGGTGACCTCTGACAAGTTCAGGAAAGCAGCAAGGGCAAACAATCTACTGCGTGGGGATGGCAGGAAGCACAGGTTGTCAACGGTGGGCAAAGAGCACAGGACACTGGGGAGGCTGCAGGTCGGAAGAAGACCTTTGCGCTGACGGGAGCAGTCAGCCGTGCGGAGCAGAGGGTTCTCTCCTAGGCAGGAGAAAGGACATGGACGGGAGGAGAGCAAATCTGAGACCCTTTTGGATGGCATTAATTTACAGCCTGTGACATCCGTCTTTCAGTAGAGGGGTAAGTGTAGGACTTGCAAGAAACCTGGAGTGACAGTTCTTACACACGGGCTTTGAAATGTATGGAGAACTTCCACATACATGTTTTCTTTCTGCTTCAGATTGTGTAACTTCTTTCAGTTTATCTTCAAGTTCACAACTCATCCATCATTTCCAATTACTTAAATTACGCAGTGCACTTTTAGAATCAGAAATGTATTTTCAAGTCTGAAATTTTCATTTCATTCCTTGTTTTGAAGTGTCTTATTTCTCTGATGGAATTTCCTCTTTTGTTCACAACCTTATTTTCTATCCTCCCCCCCCACACACACACACACTCAGGGCTTTCACACTGAGCTACTTGAGACAGGGTCTCACTAAGTCACTAAGTTGCCCAGCGAGGTCTGAAATTGCAATCTTGCCTCAGATTGCTACAATTACAGGCATCGCCACTACACCCAGCTTGCTTTACATCCTTAGGCATGGCGATAATACCTGCTTTAAAATGTGCATGTAGGGCTAGGTGTGGTGGTGCACATCTGTAATCCTAGTACTTGGGAGGCTGAGGCAGAAGAATATTGAGAGTTTGAGGCCAGCCTGGGCTACTTAGTGAGTTCAAGGCCAGCCTGAATTACAGAGCAAGACCCTGTCTCAAGCCCCCACAAAAAAAAAGGACATGTAATACATGCCCATAATCCTAGCATTCTGCTGAGGCAAAAAAGCAAGTTCAAACCCGCTCAAATTATAATTTAATTCAAAAAGGGCTGGGCATGTAGCGCAGTGCAAAGGCCCTGGATTCAATCCCCAGAACTAAAAAAATAAAGTACCTGTTTTAAATCTTCTCTGCCAAGTCTAATATTTGGGTAACTGTGGGGTTAATCTCCATTGATTAAGGTGATGAACCCCCTTTTTCATGTCTCATTTAAGAATATATCCTAACAAACTGACGAATATATTAGTAGACTGTAGGGTCTGTAGTATTCAAAAATGTGATGTTGTTTTTGCAGACAACTATCCTGGGCTTCAGCTTCTCTCTCTCCTATGTCGGCAGCAGCTGCAATCTGCTCAGTTTTTAGCCTCAGACATGCTGTTCAGGGGCTGCTCTACAGATATATACAGTTCAGGAGACTCCAAGAGATTCAAGCAAAGCTTATACATAGCATTTGGGGTTCTGTCACACCAGCGTCCTTTCTAGGGTTCCCCGTGCTTTCAAGCTGCGTGGTCACCTGAGCTTTGGCTTCTTTGCTACTAGAAAACAAGATTACAGGTTTTTATCCCAGTTTGAACCCCATGGATCACCACCCGGAGCCTTCCTTCAAGGGCAACGCCATAAAAATGAAAATGTATCCACTGCTGTCCCCTCTTCAGTTAGAGCACACTGAGTTTCTGTCCACTCCTCACTGCCCTCTGGTAATGTTTTAGGCTTTTTCTTTACATTTATACGCTTTTTAAAAAAGTTTTTCAGACCAGGTCTCACTATGTGGTCCAGACTGGCCTTGAATTCGCTATGTAGCCAGGCTGGCCTCAAACTCGTGGTGATCTTCCTGTCTTAGCCTCCCAAGTGCTAGAATTACAGGCAGGAGCCACCATGCCCAGTCTAAACTTGTATCTTTTAACCTGCCGAACTGTCCCAATAGGAACTATTCAGCCCTTATTCTACTGTTTTCATTCCACCATTGTATCCTTTTGATGTATTAGAAATGAACCCCAACTATACTAGGTAAACAAAAAACTGCAACAAATTACAACACACCCTTTTTAAATTAGAAAATTAACATAATCTTTTTTTTTTCTTGGTCTTTTTGAGACAGGGTCCCGCTACGTAGTTCAGGCTGGCCTTGAGCTCACTTTGTAGCCCAGTCGTCTCAAACCTGGAATGATCCTCCTGCCTCAGCCTCCCGAGTGCTGGGATTACAGGCGTGCGCCACCACACCCAGCAACGTAATCTTCTGAAGTAACACCTCAACATAGATTATTAGGAGGCACAACATTATTTTTTACAAGCTACTAGAAATCACCGGCCTTGTTCAAATAATAGCAATTACATGAAGTTACATGATAGTAAGGGCTCTCACTTGACTGTTTACCACTTCTCTACATGATCTTAAACATAAGTTTCAGTTTTTTTACACGCAAAGTGAGAATAAGGACTGTCCCGAAAATAAGATCATGCATGTATAAAATGCTTAGCAGTGTGAGGCATATAGTAAACAGCTATTACTCTTAATGAGCCATTTCAATAAGCCAGTCTTAAACGTTTTAGCCTCAAAATCCAGCTACACTCTTAGAAACTATGAAGGGGTAGACACAAAGTACATTATATGCATATATGAAAGTGTCATAATGAAACTCATTATTTTATACGGTTAATACACACTAATAATTATAATAAAAGTATTAAGGATTATAAAGAGCTATTGTTTATGTAAGTGTTTATCAATACCATATTAGAAATTAAAAGTACAAAATTTAAAATAAGAAATCTATTACATATTTGCAAATATTTTTTAAACTAAATTTTCAAAAATAAGCCAGACAGCGGTATTGTTTTTTCTTCTGCAATCTTATTTATTTTTGCAGCACTGGGGACTGAATTCAGGGCCTTTGCACCGAGCTACATTCTTACCCCTTTTTATTTTGAGCCAAGGTCTTGCTAAGTCACTAAATTGTCCAGGTTGGGCTCAAACTTTCAATCCTCTTGCCTCAGCCTCCCACAGTTCTGGGATGACAGGCGTGTATCACCATGCTGGGTGGATATGAACTTTGTAATGAATGGCACTTCAGATGACTGTGAAAGTGTGACATCTGATTATAGTAGTCAGGGATAAGAACCACTGTTTACAGAACTCATTTGATCCTGAAACAGCTGTTGGGGTTCTGTCACTGCAAAGCCCTCCTACCATTCTTATCACTGACTAGTGTAAAGCCTTCTATGCAGACCTGTACTAATAATGGAGTCCCACACAGTTTTACAGAGCTCTTCAGGAGATTCTAATGTGAAGCCTCAGTTAAGAACCACTGCTATGGGGGCTGGGGATTTAGCTCAGCGGCAAAGCGCCTGCCTGGCAAGCGCAAGGTCGAGAGTTCGGTTCCCGGTACCGGAGAAAAACCAAACAAACAAAAAAAAAAAAGAACCACTGCTATGGAATGGGAACCAAGAAAATCCAAGAAAACAATTCACACTCTAAAGTTACACCAATATGTAAGAGGTGTCAAAGAACCTCTTTAAAATTTTTTTTGGACACATATTAATATTGTTAAGATTGTAATAAACTCTGGATTAATTCAAATTAAAATGGAACAATTTTGTGCTAGCATTTATGAAGAAACAATTTCACAAGAGGTGTTCTAAGTATGGGAAATAAATGAACAAATATCAACTGTAATTCTAACTGTAACTTTAACCTTTAAAAAAGGCCAAATTAAAAAACAAAAGTGCTCCTAAATTAGTGTAGAGGCTAGAGGTGGGGAGCGAAACATATTATTTTCTAACTTTTACGGAAGTATTTAGGGGGCTGGGGATTTAGCTCAGCGGCAAAAGCGCCTGCCTG